TTCATGGCTGCTGCATGCCCTGCACATGTAGCTGACATCCTGGAGGATGTTTCTGTTGCAAACATGTCAGGACTGTTGAGGAAGCTTGATTGGCATGAATAATGGGATCAAGTGAAAGTTTTACACAGAATTTGAGTAAAACGGTATCCAAGCAGTTAAAAGTTCAGGTTTTTACCTAAATGTGGCTTTTGGATCACCTCTACCTGTTTGTGTATTTATTCAATCTTTCCACCCATTATGTTTGGCTGTGTTTGGGTGGATATATGTGTTTTGGTGAACTCCTCTTTCTCCCGTACAATCAAAAAGCTTCTGTCAGGTTTAAAGCTGACGAAGCCAAAGACGACTCAGTGAAAACTAAGAAGAAGAAAATAAAGCTTCTTCTGACCTCTGTCCTAAAACCCTCTCCCTTCCTTCTGTTTCTGGCAAACAGAGTTAACCAGTTTTCTCTCCTTAATCTGTTCTTATCTCCCTCTGTGGGATATTTTTCTTTTTCTCCTTGTGATATTTTCTTTCCTCCTTCTCCTCCTGGTCTGGCATTTCTCAGCTCTGCATTCCAGCTGCATGGATGGCCGCGCTCTCCTTCCTTCTGAATTCCTCTTATGTAGCCCTTTGAAGTTGTGTGCCAGTGCTCATACTGCATCTGCCTGATTTCTTGCTGGAGTCCACTTTATTTACATTTGAGGAAGACCGCCGAGGCTTTCCCCCCCTGAGAATTTTAAGGTGGTGCATCTATTTCTGTAACAAAAACATTTAGTTGAATGAATGGTCATTTCTTCAATGTTTACAAAGCTCCTCATCGTGCTCATAAATCCTACTACAGCAAATATGAAACTATTTTCATCCTCTTATTTGACTTATAATAAATGTTTCGGCCAGATAAATTAGTTTCTTCCCTTAAACTAAATGCAAAGATCAATCAATGCCTTAATTTGGTATCCACACATTAATCAACTCCCATATTTGTTTATGCACCTAATTCCTGACAGAAAATAATCCCCACAGTATGATGCAGCCACCACCATGCTTGTGCTAGCCTTCTTTTCTACTTGAAGCCAAAACTTTGTATTTTGTTGAAATATTTAATGAGAGTTTTGCTTCTCCTGACAATTAAAGTTTGTTTCTGCAAAATTCAAGAAGACATCTAGATCTGGCCTCTGCATCTGTTTAGTGTTATAGCAATGGTTTATCTACTGAAGCGCCTTCCCTCATTACTCATTTTGGGTAGATTGTAGAAGGTGCATGATTTTAAAAACCTCCTTACAAATATAGGAAAACACATTATTTGATGAATGTTTATTTATTTTTTTATTTTTTTTTAGGCCAACATCAAAAATCTGTTTCTCTCTGAAGACATTCTCTTTTTTAAGTCCCCTACATGGCTGGTTATAAAGTCCAAGCAGGAGATTTATTACTTAATTTAGAAAATGTATCTTATAAAGGATGGATTTGTGGAATATTAGTTATCCTGGTATTACGTCTTCTCACCTTAGTTGTGGTTTATCTGCAGTTCCTCAGAGACTATACCTGGGATTGTTCTCAAATTAATGATCTCCTTGTCTAAACTGTCAATATTTTTTTTACATAAAATATTGTTTTATAATCCGAATTCTGTTTTTTAACTACTTCCAAACTTTATTCTTCTCTTAATTCTGAAGAAAACCTTTAGTTTTTTCCATGACAGCTGCATTAATACCGTACTTTACTAGTAAGGTTACTTCAGAGGGTAATAGGATTTAATGTATTTTTATTGAGGTGTTATGTGTACGCTGGCAGCTTGTTAAGCCTGCTAAATTTAGTGAATATGGATCCATTTACTGGTGAATTTTACAAACGTTTCTTGTAAAGAGAAATTAGAAAAAAATTACCAATATTTATTCATTCCTTGCATTATAAAGTAATACTCTATTTTTTTAAATTTACGATTAATTTATTTATGTGGAAGGATACTTTGACAGCTGGATCAAGCCAGTGTAATCTCATATATGAGGTGCTGTTGGCAGTAAGATGGTGATTAGTCCAGGAAAAGAAACCAAAATGAAGAAAATAAGAGTCTTTATTCCATCGTCAGCCTCTCAGTGTCGAGGGAAGTCCCAGAAATGTCAGCGATCAGCCTATTTGGGTCTGTGTTAAGCAGCTCAACTGTATGAGTCAGCAAACTAACCCACATTCTCACAGAGGGATACAAGAGAGACAGGAAGATTAAGATGATATAAAACTGTCAATTGTCTTCTATATGTGTCAGTCGGGTTGCAATAAACTCATAGGGAGAGAGAAAGCAAATGGGAATCTTTCCTGGGTTCTTTCGGTTTTACTTGTAATAGCTCCTTTAATGCTAACTGTTATTTCTGTATTTCTGCTTTACCTTGTTATTTATTTGAACCCTTTATCAGTTCTGTACATGTTTCCTCCTTAATTTTCTTCCAATTGCTGTTTAGCTGTTGCTGCAGGAAGGTGATGCAGTCGTTTCTCTTATCTAAGCTCAAGACAATCATCCTTTGTTTTGTTTAGTTCACCTTTTATTTGCAGTTTTCTCTCTTTCTCTTAACTACCTGCATCAGCTCTGGGACCACATCATGACTCTGGGGGTGGCGACCCGGCTGCCGTACGAGTCCCGTGTGACACGTTTAAGCAGACCGCACGATGACATGACTAACGGTTTTAATTCACACTGACTCAGTCCCGGTTGTGTCAGATCTCCTTTAGCCAGGCTAGCTGTGAATATGCACCTGTCAGCTTGCTTTAGTAACACATCTGCAAAGATGACACACATATGCTCTCTCTGTCAGCCTCTGTCTGCGTCCGAGACGTTGCCTAAGAGTCTTGATCCTCACTGTAAGAGGATTTAAAGTACAAAGCAGTGTTTTCCTACATCATATACGATGCAATATGGACTTTATACTTTCTTGCACAGATAATTATCTATGGGATTTTTTTTAATCCAACACAAACGTCCATATCAGTAGGTATTCCTGCACAGATTGCAGAGGGATAAAGTAATTGTACAGAATAGTGACACCTGGCTTTGATGCTTTAAATTACAACCAACTTCTAAATGCCTCCTGCTTCATTCCAGTAGTTTTATGATGAATAATTTAACAAAGCTGAGTTGTTGTAGATTGTTTTCCCTTTTGTTTCTGTCTCTGTTGCATTAACAATAGCTCCACTGTTGATGAGAACCAGAACATTCTGTCTCCTCTGGAACCACAGCTGAGGTTGCACGGTGTATTGGAGGTTTAACCTTACAGCAACATGACTGAAAGCAATTTGCATACCATGAAGAACTGCTTGGACTTTAATTATTTTATCTTGTAATAGAACTATCAGGTTACCAGGCTCTGTTTGCCTGTAATTTATTAATTGACTTTCGTTTTTGTTTTTTGTTAATGCTGAATGAATGAATTTTGCTACACCCTAATTGGACATTAGTTCTTTAACTCTGGAAATGTCCATCATGACAACAAGATTTCAGCCATAATTAATGGTTTCTAGTTGTAGTAGCTAAAGCTTTGAGTTAATTCTGAATCTCTCCTCCTTTGGTCTGAAGTTTATTACCTCAGTTTGGCTTTTATTCAGTTGGAGAAAATTATGGACAATCCACATATTGATCAGTTCTAAGCATTTTCTCAACGCTCTGATCGGTTCGCAGTCACCTGGTGGCATTATGATGCAAATCTGATCCAAAAGCCTTCACTAAACTAAAAGGATGCAGCGCTTAAAGATTGGATTATTTATTTTTTTGCATTAAGAATATATAACGTTTTTTTTTTCCAGGTTTCGCCTCATTGTCCGGCAAACAGAATACATTTTTAAATAGCCTTTTTGCAAAAAAAGTAATATTTAAATGAACATTTTACAGCTGTAGCAAGGTGCACCATTTTCTTTAGAATCAGGAAAATTAGAATGCCTTTATTATCATTATACATGTCACAATAAAATGATCAATATCAGTGCAAAGGCACAGTAGGAAAAAAGGAAATAAGAAAAGTATGTGAAATATATACAATTTAATCATGTAGAAATAAGTGTGAAGTGCGCACAGTCTTGTCAAACATGGTTAATATACAGATTTAGAATAAATATAAATTGCACATAAATGTATGATGTCTATCACTGATTAGAATATTGCATATGATTAGGATTACACCTGAGAAATATCAGTACATGTTAGAGTTCATAACTTAATATGAGGATTACCAATAAATTTAATTCAATTTTTTTTAGCTTGGGTCTGATTTTAATTTTAATTCCTTTAACACATATTTAACCAGAAAAGTAAAATATAAGTAATTAGTGAGGTTTGGATTTAAATTAAAACCCACCTGGGAGGCTAAATAATCTACAATGTGCAATAATAATCATATTGAATTACTGTAAAGTAGAGTGACTGTTTAAAGAAATTTAAAAATAAATAGTGTGAAAATGAAAGCCTGCAAAGCCATCGCAACAGAAGCTGGAATGTATGTCTTATAAACACACATGTAGTGATTTATTATGTTTAACAAAGTGGCATCTTGTTGCATTTTATCAGATATATCCCCCTGGATATGTCTCACTGGATCTGAAGTGTTTGCATCTGTAAAGCGGTTTAGTTCAGGCATTTCTTCACATATTTTATCAGCAGCCGCTGTTAAAGCAAAGCATGCTGAAACGCTGAAAGTTTCAGCTCCGGTGGTTCCCGTTTATCCTCCGCCGAGTAGACAAAAGGATGATGGCAGCCCAGGCAAATGTGCTTTTGCTCTGCAGCTTACCTCGGCTCAACCTGGTGATCCCCAGGAGCTCACAGGTCACCAGGGAAATATAATCCCCACAGCATGTTCTGGGATGAGCCAGAACACCTAAAAAGAAAAGCAGGAGGGAAAAGAACATGCTTTGTGTTGAGATAAAGCTCCTGTTATTACAGCAAAGCGTATGTGAGTTTTAACCAAAAGCTGCTTTATTCTGCTCTTTTTTGTGCTCTATTAATCACCTTATTAACGTCCCTAAATGCTGCCAGTAATGAACCGATGATTTTTCTACCTCTCCCAGCATCTTCAGTGCACCATCCAGGCCTTACAAGATGAGCTCAGGATCCAGCGAGATCTCAATCAGCTCTTCCAATCCGATTACTCTGAGTCGGGTCGACTTGGAGCCCAGCCCATTCCCCCTCAGGAGATGACCGAAGACAACTTCCTCCGTCTCCACAGCGAGTTCGAGCGGCAGGCCAAGGAGCTCTTCCTCCTGAGGAAGACGGTGGAAGAAATGGAGCTGAGGATAGACACACAGAAACACACCCTGACCGCCAGGTATGGATGGACAGAAATGTGACTGTTGTGTAACATCTCCTGGCTGAAAAAACGCCTCAGGCTCTACATGACTTGTGCGTCCTTCCTGTCTGACAGGGATGAGTCAATAAAGAAGTTACTGGAGATGTTGCAGAGTAAAGGTCTGTCATCGCGGGCGGCGGAGGAGGACCACGAGCGAACGAGGCGACTGGCTGACGCAGAGATGACCATCCACCAACTGGAGGGGCTGCTGGAGCAGAAAGACAAGGAGATGCTTCAGCTCAGAGAGGTGTGTGTGATCAGCACGGGGTGCAGAATTTATCTAGAAATAATCCCTCATGCATTTCTCATCCTACATCCCTCTTTTATTCTCTTATTTCTTACTTAAATTCTCACCCTTTTCATTTTATATTCATATTTACCATGCTTCTGTTTTGTCAAACAGCTCCCCCTAGTGTTCATAAAGGTGAAACAAAGCATGGCACTAATGCAAAATCTGCTGATAGGAAAATTATTGCAAATAATAAAAAAAAGTTGCTTCTTATAGATGTTCATTTGCAAAAACTTTCCTTTAAGTATGCTTAAACCATACATTAATAGTTGGTGATTTTAACAGGACAGAATCTGAAAATGATCCTAGCCTGTAATCATTAATTAGGGGCTTCTATCAACAACTGCTTAATGCAGTCCTTTAATGCCCAGCCCTCGTTTGCTATCATTGTTTCTGCACAAATTTCCTGTGTTTTTCAGCTGCTTTCCTCTCATACAGCGTTCAGAGAAATACAGGAACTTCTGTCTCCTGAGGAACTTGGATGCCATTATGCAGTCTTTCAAAGATGATTCCTGTTGAGGTTTTCTCTTACTAATTTCCTGATGTTCTGATGGCACACCTCCTGCTCCCTCCTGGGAGCAGAGCTGCTGTTCATTTAATGAAAGATCTCCGCTATAGTTGAGTTAAATAAACTGAAAAATCAAACCAAAAATTTAAAAACGGCTTTAGAGATGGGTTAGAGATTACAAATCAAAATATCCATTATGTTGAAATTAGAGGTTTTTATTTGGGATGCATGGATTAGGATTTTTTGCTGGTCTTAACCAGCTTTTTTTTTTTTTAAGGCAAAGCAAGTATAACACTGTGTGTGAGCCTTTAGCAGCAACTTTACTTGTGCAGTCATTTAAAAAAACGGTTATTAAAAAGATAATTTTCTTGTTTTGATGTCAATCTATTTATTTATCTTTATTAAAGGGATTTAAATGTGGAAAAACCCACAATGAAAAAAATGACCTTATGTTGCTGTGTTTAGTAACTCAGTAAACATGCATATTCTGGGAATGCAATAAATCAAACAGATGGTATTTATTTCCATACCGAAAATATGTCTGTCATTGTTTTATCATTTATTTTAAGGAGTTGTTTGACTTTGTGGTCATTTTCGCCTGCGTTTCCAGTGACATCTTCCTACTGCCAGCTTCACATGTGTAGGATTTTATGCTTCCTGGCTTTTTGCATTTGCTGCCTTTGTCAAACTGTAAGAAGCTAAAGAAATTCAGCCATGCATACTGTGTCATCTCCTCCTATCGGCTTTCTTCTGTCCCTGCTTGGCTCTTTTCAACTCTGTCCACTCCTTTTGTGCCTCTACATTAAACGTTGCACTCTCCCATCTACCTCTCCTTTTCGCTCCTGTTTCATTAGATGAGCTGGCTGTGATGGACTAGGATCAACCAGATTTGTAGGATCTAGTCACAGATCTCTTAAAATCTGGAGGCAGCTGTGTTTTTAGAAATGTCTTAGAATTTAGGAAATTTAGGATTTTGTTTCAGACTTCGGCTTGTTTCTGTCGAAGATCTTTTATAGTGATTTTGTGAGAGAACTGATCGAATTAGCCTCACCTCAGGCTGTCAGATCGGATTGTTTCCTGAAATTGTGTCAGTGGCATCATCCTCTTTCGACCCTGTTTTAACTATGTGGGACGGCCGGATCGACCGAAGAAAGCGAAAATCCAGCGCCTCTGCTCAAAGGAAACCTCTCCTCCCTACCTCCCTGTCCTCTCCGGTTCCTCTCTCCATCCCTGCCTCAGCTCCTTTCCATGTGTCCCCTCCTTTTCTGCCTTCTCCAGTATTGTCCCCGTCACATCATCCCTCACTCCCTTCTTCTCCGTCCTTCCCTGCCCCATTACCCCCTCCCAGACGCCACTCCATCCATCCCGTCTCCATCCCCTCATCCTGTCTTGCTCACTCTCCTTCTTTTGTCGTCATTTCTTCAGCCCATCCTTCCCACCGATCTCCCATCCAGCATTCCCCGTCCTTCCCTGTTCCTGCTCCAAGGCCTACCCCAGTCATCCAGCCTTCCCGTCATCCTTTTCCATGAGCCACCCTTGCCTTGTCTCCTTCCTCCTTGCGTCCTCCCCTTCATCCCTCTGTGTCTTCCTCTTTTTCTTCTGCTGACCATCGGGGTGTCTCTGTGTCCCAGGAGCTGCACAGGAGATATGAAGCAGCTCCAGAATCAACGAAGACCAAGGCCCTGCAGACTGTTATCGAAATGAAGGTAAACGTCTGGATAATCAATTTAATTTCATATCTTTATTTCATTTGTAAATTAAAGCTGATATTTTTCTGTTATTAGATGAACCATCTAAGTCTTCCTGGAACATGAAATCAAATAAAAAATAATCCTGGTAATAAAAAGCAATGCAGAGGCATCAATAAGTGTTTGAAACACTAATACCGGTAGTAGGTTTTGTGATAAAAAGCTATCATTTACTTCCAAACAATCTTTAGCTACTCTAATTTGGTATTTTATATGTTCAATTCAGCCCAAAAGCTGAGATTAAATGTTAAAATATAGAAATGAAAACACAGAAACAAAGCTGCTCAAGTCTGCAGATTTTTAAACATTCTGGAACACTTTATGATTTATTTAGTTTTCCTCAGTTGCATTAAATCTGTTTAGTCTAAAAGAAATCACGGCCAGATAAGGAGGATCTTATGGTACAATAAAATCCGTCTGGAGAAGGGTACCACACACAATGCATGGAGTTATCTCTGCAGCAGATCACAATAAAGACATTCATCAATGACTAGAAGACAATTTGGACAATGCTGTCGTTGCAAGAATGGAATTTCATTAAAAATACAAGGGATAGTCGGTGAGGCTGCTAAGAGGTCGGCTGCATCACTGAGGAGGCTGCAGGAATTTCTGTGAAGCAGAGAAATATTTCTCTAGGGAGAATAAAAAGCCATGATGACAGTTATGGTCAAATCCCTACAGGTTTCTGCTGGAAAAGTGAAGAATATGAGAGTCAAAGCTTAAAACAATAAGAATGAAGGTTTTGAAATGTATCTAGGATGGTTGTGGACAATCTGATGAATTTGAAGAAAAATGATGATTTAAACCTGTCTTGTTTACAACATACGTTTTATGCAATATATTTGATCAAACGTTGCTGTAGATGAGATCAAACGTCCAGTGATTTAACAAACCTATTTTTATTATTTTTTCTTTCTTTTATCCGGCAGGATGCAAAGATCAGCTCTATGGAGCGCGGCATGAGGGAGCTGGAGGAGGAGGTGATGATGCTGAAGTCCAACGGAGCTCTGAGCAGCGAGGAGAGGGAGGAGGAGATCAAACAGATGGAGGTCTACAGATCCCACTCCAAGTTTATGAAGAACAAGGTGATCAATGCATTAAAACGCATTTCCTCCTATTTAGGGGAAACAAATTAACATTTAATATTTTCTCACTTGTATTTAGTCAGTTTAGCAGTTTGACATTTATGGTGAGCTAACTGGCTATAGACTGTGAAAGGCAGCAGTTTCTTTTTAGTGCAGTTATGCCTTCATAGAGTTTGGTTTAGATTATGTGTACCGTACCTGAGGATGTGTTATACTGTTTACAACGATAATATTAATGGTTTCATTGATCTGTTTGAGAGAAATCCAATAACACAGACGTCCAGACAACGTTTATGATTCTCGTTCTTCATCCTGACATCCCTGGGAATGTGATGCCTGGTCCAACTGGGTCAGATTTATGCTTCCATTTCTTCTGAAATATCATGTGGGGGTGTAAATCACAGAGCACACACATCCACAGTGATCAGAAGCAGAGGAGCTTGAAAGGCTGATATATTATAGAAATAATGATGCGTCTCATAGAGATGTGTTTCTAGAGACAAAGACGTTTGAATTAACTTAATAAAAATAAAAATAGAAAATGTAAGGCTGCTTAAATTACTTTAATTAACTTTTTGCTTCTCTGTTCTAATTTTTTCTTTTAACTCCAGTAAAAGCTGTTTTTTATTTCTGACATTTTTGCTGCTCTTTTATTTTGTGCAACATTTACAAGCTGGGTGTCATGATCAGGGCTCCTCCTCTTCCTACCATCACAGCTGATTATAAAGAGCTGAGATATGAGGGAAAAGTCTAAGTATAGCTGAAGGCCACGAAGCCGGGCCTCATAATAAGTAGCCTCCATGACCCTTAAACCCCCTCCTCTCCTGCCAGGTGGAACAGCTAAAGGAAGAGCTAACTCACAGCCAATCAGAGAAGGAGGAGCTGAAGCAACGAGCCAATGAGCTCCAGCAGGAGGTGTCTGCAGTAAGAGAAGCACCTCTGTCCTTCCTTTCTTCCTTCCTTCCTTCCTTCCTTAGGCTTGATTAGTCTCTCTCAGTAGAATCGCAGCTCTACGATGTGTGGGGACGGCTGTAAGCAGCGATCGCTCAGATCTCACAGCAGCGCTGTAATAAGTCGGCACATTATATAGTTCTGCATGCACTCTCTGATTAAATCGCTGCCACTGCTCCATCAGAAGCACTGCATCATTTCTAATGCACATGAAGTTGGAGAAAATTCCCCTTATCAGTTTTTTTTTCAATCTTATATAAAAAAACACACTTGCAGAGCTGCTGCTTAAACAGAGCGTATTACACCACTGTGGGTGGGATCTGTAGCATTTTGACTCTGTTTCTGTAGTGTGAGTGAAATAGCTGCTTAACAGACTTCTGCAGATTTTCATCTCTAACCTGCATCTCTTTCTTCTTGAATGACCTATCGAGTGGATCCGTTTGCTGATGAACTCCATTCTGTTATCTACAACCAATATCTCTAAAAGGTTTGGTTCGATTCTCTTCTGAAGCCTTCATCGTGTAGAATAAGGGGTTAATCAGCGGATTAACTGAAGTTTATAATTCTTATAATTTGAACATTTCTTACTGTAAATAGGAGGATTTAGTTTTTATGTTACAGTAGCATCAACTATTTACCTCTGGGTTTGAGGTAAGACTTCCAACCCAAAGATGGCTTCAGAACAGAATAGAACCAGACCTCATTTTAACTGTAGAGCAAAGTTATTGACTGACTTCCATGTGTTTCTAACTCTTCTCCTTTTAGCAAAAAGGAAATGATCAAAATAAATAGATGCTTCATAACTAACTTGTTTATAAGCCAACTATGGAGATCCTATTTCTTTCAGTCGGACTTTTGCTTTAGACCGTTAAACAATAGTACAAAATGTCATGTCAATGAATAATTTGAACTGTTCTTTTGCAGTGATGGGCTAATGAAACAACAAACAAGTTTTTAAAAACAGGGATTTGACATAAACTGTTTATTATTGTAGGATTTCTCTGTAGATGTTCCCTGTTTTATTTGCTTATTACTTCAAACAAAAGTTTGAGAATTTGTCTTGACGTCAGCAAACTTCCAGTGGAATGTTTGGTTTACTAACTCTTCTGGGGCAAATTAGTGGAGCTCATTTCTGTTGTCTAGGTTTTATGGCAGAGGCCTCGGACCATCCAGCTGGTTTATCTAATCTAAAACCAGTTTTTGTGTTTTCAAAATCAATTTGTTTGAGCCAAAGTCCGACCTCTAATGACAAGATGGTCGGACCCTAAACTGTAAGATGATGAAATGTTTATGTCTCTGTAAAGTGTGAAGCCAGTTTACCATCTACATAGACTGTAAGGATTCTAAAATCAGGGAAATAATGACCTCCCAGCAAAACAAATGATTGTAACTGGCATAAATTAACAAATTGTTAATATTTATTAATATTAATTATTGAAGTTGTTTGTTGCATAACAAGACCTCTCAAAAATAAAAGCATGGAAGACCTGCAGTGAATTTTAACATGAATGAATATCATAAAGAGACTGTTTAATGTTCTAAAGCAAACATTTCATATTGTTCCTGTCCTTCCTCCGTGTTTCCCAGATGGAGCAGGCAAAGCAGGAGCTGAGTCGTAAAGACAGCGAGCTGCTGGCTCTCAGGACCAAACTGGAAACTTTAAACAATCAGTTTTCTGACAGCAAACAGCATGTGGACGTACTCAAAGAGTCACTCACCGCCAAGGAGCAGAGAGCTGCCATACTTCAGACCGAGGTAAACCTTTTATTTCTCACTTACCGCCGTTTATTCGTGTTTGATCTGTGCTTTATTTCTACTAGCTGGATCTTGTTTCTACTCAGGTGGATGCTCTGCGTCTCCGTCTGGAAGAAAAGGAGTCTCTCCTCTCAAAAAAGAGTCAGCAGATCTCGGAGCTGACGGAGGAGAAAAGCACTCAGCAAGGAGAGATCACTGATCTCAAAGACATGCTGGATGTTAAGGAGCGCAAAGTTAATGTGCTACAGAAAAAGGTGAGGAGCCTCATCCTGTGCATCCAACAAACCCTTTAAACTGATATCTGGAGAGAATTTCTAATTTTTATTTTTAATCAGACACATGCGAGGTAAATGGACAGGTGTGCTCCCAAAGCTGCTGCATCTGTGATTGTGCACATCTTTGCCCTCAGTCCACTTTTGCAAACTAAGAGAATTCACAAATACAGTAAAGTTAAACCTTAAATGTAAGGAAACTACATGGGAAAATAAGTTAAGCTGACAGCATTAAGGATTGGGTGCTGTAAAAGAAAGCAAGAAACAAACTGAATAGATCAAATCAGTTAAGAGACTCTACGTTGAGTAGCTAAACAAGAGCAAACCCACTAGCAACCCACCAGCTATTTAAAATGTCTTAACCCTTTATGGGGCAATTTTACATTTTTTATTCACTTGTATATATCACTAATGAATGGAGTCCCTCCATCTGTCAGTGAAGTCTAGAAGCACAATATATATCCAGCTATTCAGCAAAGATTCACATAATTTTGGTATTTGATCTGTTAAATGAGCCTTTGAAAGATATGTTACCTACTGTAAATTAATTTGAAAAAAATATAGGTTAATAAATCAGATGAAAAAGTTAAATGCTAATTAATAAATAAGAGGTTCTTATTTAAAAAGTAGAAAATGCAAGTTCTTGCATTGGCATTAATGTTCTAAGGTTATTTTTAACAAAAAAAAAAAATATTTCCGTCACTCTTGAGCGTTTTTCAATAATTTATTCAAAAACAACCTTTGTTATTTTTTTAATATGTTAAGGAACGTTTCTTGTTATTACATTGCCTCTGATTTTTGCCATAGAAATATGCTTTTTAATGTTACAAAAAAGGTCTTGTTCTATGTTCCGATAGCTCTCTTAGCTTAATATTTAGATTTTCAAGGTATTTCAGTGAGTGCCCTATAAATTGTTAAAAACATCCCCAACTACCATCCTCCAGATCAGATCTGAATCTTAGTCTGACCTTAGATCTTATTCTCAAATAGGTGTAAACATCCCACCTACTTGGAATTTACAAAACTATTTACAAAACACAACTACAACAGTCTGTTGCAGTAGGTGTTCCCTCTCGGGAGCAGTTACAGGGTTGTTCATGTGCTCTATTTTTAAACGTGGAGAGGGCGAGTCTTTTCAAAAATTCGCCAAATTTTTCCACCATTCCTTTAATGCTATTTGGGGAAATAACTTTTTAGGTGCATTACCACCAGCTGGTAAGTAGTTTAACAGCTTCACCAAGGTGTTCCTACTCGTAAATTTGTGATTTGCATCTTTATTGATTTACATTTTTAAATTCAAGCATACATACATTTTTATTAAAGGCTATCTTACCTCATTGATATCATCCAGCCCAAGGTTGAGGTGATTTCAGAAGCTTAAATTTAGCCACTTTTAGGACGTGTTTAGTATTCCTACCCTGTTTAAAGGCAATTGAATGCTAAAGCAATAATAAAATTTGTTTGAGCCTGTGTGGATTGGAGGACATTTAAATAAAAAATTATTAAACTTCTGCACACACGTCCTTTTCCAAAATATGATTGATCTTTTTCTCTACCTTTAAAAAAACAAACAAACTTATATTTAATAAGTCTGTATACAACAAGCGTTTGTCTTAGTAGTGTTTACTCAGTCTCTTTTGACCCTGAAAATTATTTTTGCACCATAAAAAACACATTTTTGCAGTACTTACTCACACATCCATCAACTTAACAGCTTTGATACTTTTAGCTCCTGCATCAGTAAACACCAATGTTAATATAGTTTTTTGAGAACTACTCATGTTTCATCCCTACAAAATCAATTTTATTTTTTTTATTTTTTTTTTACATCTTTGGAATTTTCCTTTTTCTTTTTCTGATCAGCATATAGGACAGGTGAGAGATCTATAGTTTCAAAATATAAAAAAGTTTTTGTTAATCTGTTTCTGATGTTAGCCACTAGATGGCGGTGTAGGACAGAGAAGAGGCTGGTCGTTCTGCAGGTTAGAAAAAGTGGCATGTGTGGGAGGATCTCATTGGAAATAATGTTTGATAGGCAGTCTTGATTATCCATTCCTATATATATATTATAAAATTAACTGGAATAAAGTAATTAGGGGATAACAAGCTTAGGAAGACGCGGTTCTGTCCCCTTTATTATAATCCTGTCTCCTGTGTTTTTGCTTTTCCTCTCCAAACCCTCATTTTTCACCTTTTTCTCTATCTTAGCTGAGGAACATGTCAGAATATTAAAGATATGTGTGGATAATCGATATGCAAAATCAAACGGGCAGATATAAAGCA